CCCTTGCTGAGCTTCCTCCTGCTCAACTCTGCTGCTAAGTCCTTCTTAATTCTATTTTTCCAATCCATGTAGACATAGCTAGAGCATTCAGTGATGCTCATTCCGTTGAGGGAGATTGGGATATTAGAATCCAGTCCAGTGAACGTTGTCTTACAGTAAACACTGAAAAGGCTGTTCTCCATAGTGGGCAGAGGCAGTCTATGGTTAACTTGGTTATCTCTCAAAGGCTCAGCAAAAGCGTTACCTGTCTGAGATAGCTCTTAGTCCTTCTCTGACTTCTGAACCAATCCAGATGGGCCCGTTTCAGACTGACCGTGGCATGGACGACAAACGAAGTTCTTCCTCCGACGCCACCTCCTACCACGCCCTCAACGACTACAGGCACTGTGCCGACGACAACGCAAGGTTTGAAAGAAAAGTTAACCAGATCTTTATGACAACCCTCTTCGGAATTAGGCATCTTTTCTTAGAATTGCTTTTTTATGAGCTCTTCATTGATTTGTACATTTCTCTACCTCTATTCCAGCCTTTGGAAACCAGATTTGATTACTGGAATTATTTGCTGTTGTACAGAGTTGTTTGTGCAGGAAATGTGACCGAGCCGAGGACGTGTGATGAGTTCTGGAATCGAACGGACGGAGTGAAGATTATCTACATCAATGGCAAACAGATAAATGTGTACTGTCAGTATGGTACCACTGGAGCCTACACAGTTATTCAAAGGTGTGAACTTTGAACTTCGCTGCCGACCGTCTCGTCTCTTTGAACAATCTTGACAAAAAATGGGCAACCCTCCTTTCCATTTTGTTCGCAAGAACTATGTCTTATAATCATCTAGCATTCAAGTTTGTTCTGCTATGATTGACTCTGTTTCAGTCGAGGATCACTTGACGACACGACGTTCAACCGTAAACTTGAAGAATACAGAAGCTCATTTGGAATAGTGAGCCATTCGATGATTCGTTTAATAGTTCTGAAAGGTAGTGGGTGAAGGCGGTCTAGTCGTTATAGGTGGGAAAGCGCTGCAATCTGCCATTTCCGCTGACTGTGTGGCCAAGCGCTTTTCTACCGATGACGTTTGAACTGCTGCTCCGCCTCTCAAGCGCGCACTGCCGTTGAATTACTCTCCTACTTTACCCTAAATCTCCTTTATTGGAAATATGTTTCAGCCTGGAAAGGGAAACAATTTCTGGCTTGGACTTGACAATATGGTTGCCTTGACGTCTCAAGGCAATTACGATCTTCTCATTGAACTTTGCTGTTCAGGAACCAATTCGATTCAATTCTATAAAAACTTTACGGTAGGTTAAAAGCTTCATTCTGGTCTGATGGGATGATGGGGGTCCATAACGGAAAACCTCGAAAATGGGGAGCCCGAGCATCATCTAGTTGTTCTAAGCAGCCTACCGTTTTTGTAAAGGGTAACCCTCCACCCTCTACCTATATAGTCTTGTTTGCTGCGGATGCGGGAGCTTATCAGGGAGGGAAGGAGGGGAAATACAGTCTTGATCGCTGCGCCCAGCATGTGCAGCGATCAAGACTGTATTTAGGAAGACACTCGTGAAGGAAGAGGTTGCGTTAGACAATTTTTTGGCATGTTGATATACCTAAATGGTGTACGGTATCCGGTAATATGTCTGCGGAGAGCTGAATGGTTTTTTTCTTGTTGAATTTCCGCCGTCTGTGTCTTACAGTTCCACTGTTTTGCTATTGAATAAGAGCTTCAGAACTCTTCAAAACGCGATTTTGTGGCTTGCTACAAGTTTTTTTTTCCGCAGTGTATATGATTATCATTGAGATCATCAATAATTCCTTGATTATTAAAGGAAAGAAAGTAGGTGAAGCTGTGAAGATGAGCGCAATAGGCTTGCGTATCTCTGCAACTTTATCCTTTAGAACGCGTCAGTATACAGCGATTGGCTAGGCTCTCTGCAACAAGCAGGGTCGATAGAGTTCCGAGAATACCGCACTTCAGTCCGTAAACCCTAGTAATGGAAGTATTTCAGATAAGTCAAGACTATGTCCTTAGAGCCGAAGCGATAGTACCGAAAATCGGTCTCGATTACATATCATCAAATACAGGAAAGAAGGATATCGGGGTACCCTTCACAACATACGACAAAATGAGTGAGGACATGAGGTGAACCTCAAATTACGGCTCCAGTATTACCGTGCCCTTTGAGAACTTTTTCATATGCCTTCTTTTCAGAGAATCCTGTGATATCGTGCGGTACTACGGAGGCCAGGATAAGCCAATTTTCGACGCGCAAACTGGGTATTTTTCTTTCTCTATGTTTTTGCTTTCATTTTTGGTAATTTTCATTTATCTCTTCACTTGTCTTGCGTTCAACGAACTCACGAAAGAGACTGAGCTACTTCCTGATCACAAAATATTACTTCTGCTCATCGCTATCTTTCTGAGTATTCACTGAACAAGAAGAATAAATTAAAAAAAAGTAAGTCAAAGATGTTTCAACGAGAAATGGAAATTAGTTTTCAGAGGCTGGTGGTTCGGAAGCTGTGGTAACAACCTGAACGGAGAATTTGTGCCGAAAGCAAACCCAACGTCCACCTGTCAGCTAGATGAGTGAGTACTTCCTGCATTCTTTTTTGCTCATAAAGCTTGGAAGTTTAGTACGCCTAGAACCTTACGAGTAGGCATTATTTTTGTGCAAGCTCCAAGAAAGTAGGCACTGCTGGGGTTGCTGAACTTAAAGGAAGAGCAAGGAGACACGCGATAGCGAGATTTGAAATATTAGGTTGTCCGGAAAGTTCTCAGCGTTTTGGGTGTTTCACTTTAAACGATCGTAACTTTTTTAATACTCATCGGATTTAATCGAAATAGGCACCATTCGAATCAGCACACTTTTGCCAATGTGACAGCAGTCGAGAAATCCCATCAAAGTAAAAAACTGGGTGGTCGAAAATTCACGAAATCCACTAAGGCTTTTTTGCCTGGTCCTGATTGATGAAGTATTTTCCAGCAAGGGAGTTCTGAAAATGTTAGAAAAGGTGATAGTCGGTTGGCGAAAGGTCTGAAGAATATGGCGGTTGAGGTAGAACTTCAACCCCCAATTCGTTCAATTTATGGATAGTGATTTGTGAAACGTGTGGGCGGGCGTTGTCATGCAAAGGAATCGGACCCTTTCTTTTGATAAGTGTTGGCTGCATCTGACAAAATTTTCGGTACAATTCGTCGATTTCTTCACAGTAGGGTTCTGCTGTGATGGTTTGGCCTGGTGATAAAAAGTTATAGTGGATCACACCAGCCGATGACCACCAAGCCGTGACCAGAATCTTTTTTTCGTGAGGGTTCGGCTTTGAAAATTACCTCGGTGGTTCGTCGAAATCCAACCACTGTCCGGAACGTCTCCTGTTATCATACATGACCCATTTTTCATCACAGGTGACAATTCGGTTCCAAAAACAGGTCGTTTCTGCTGCGCAAAAGCAATGCAGAAGGAACCTCGAGACGTGCCGATTCCTGCCGGTCACTCCGATTGTGGGGCACCCAATTGTCGAGTTTTTTCACCTTCCCAATGCGTTCCAGACCATCTGCAACAGTGGATTTGCCAAGGCCTAGCTCTTCTGCTGATGGGATGGGTCAGCCTCCAAAATCCCCTAAAATCCTCGTCAGATATTGCTTTAGGTCGACCGCTATGAGGTTCATCTTCAAGGCTGAAATCTCCAGAACGAAATTTGTTGAGCCATTGCCGCACAGTGCTTTCTCTAGCACTATTGGGCCCCCACACCTGGTTAATTTGTTGAGCTGTTTCGATTGCGGATTGCCCCAATTTATAGTCGAAGAAAAAAATCGTCCGAAGTGCTCTTTTCACATGCTTGAAAAAATCTTGAAAAAAGGGGGTTTATCAAGCAATGGTGAAACGGCAATTATACCATCAGATAGCGCAAGAAATTCTCTACAGGATGTGCTACTGAGAAGCAAGGCAGAATGAGTTTTTAATCAGCAGTGAATGTACAAAAAATAGGTGCACAAAACGCTGAGAACTTTCCGGACAACCTAATACATTTAGCGCTTACCGTTCATCAACCTTGTAATTTAAACACTATTTCGAAGAGGTTAACTCACTTAAAGGCAGCGTCCGCGATCAACCAAAGTGAAAAAACCCTCCATTGAAAACGAACGCGGAGTCCGCAATCACAGCAGAAATCCCACTCTTGCGGCTCGAAATCGATTGGTTGACGAGGGCGGAGTCAACAAGCTGAGCTGACGCCTCCTTTCCTGTTAATCCCGCCCCGACTGGTTGACAGTTATCAATGCTTGCTGGCATTGATATACGCTGAATTTCTAGAGTTCCGAGGCGGCGACGTGTATTGGAGAACTCACCAGAAGTTTGCGAAACTCGTCCACATGCCTTAAATTTCATAGGGTCTTATTTCACGCTCTTCCACACCTTTTTCCTGCTTTTTTTGATTAGTGCTTCATTGGCCACCTGTTCTAGCAAATGTGACCCCTGAAACCTGCCAAAGTCCATCGCGGGCGCTGTCTTTAAAGTGGGAAACCGAGTGGACAAAACCATAGTAAGGCCGCAGTATTGGAAAAGATGCTAGCCTGACATTGCGCAAGCAAAAGACCTGAGAGTAACATGGGAGGATAGTATAACGAGGGGGCTTAGTAGCAATACGACGAGGTCGGTCCCACAAGGAATGAGCGCAACGTGACACACCCGTGCTTAGTTTTGCACACTGCTGGCATTGTCCATTGTTGAGGGAATACCCCTCGTGAGTGTCGTAGTGTCGCACGCTTTATCTCTCAGTGCTAAATCAGGAGAGTGCGATAACCTCTGCTGACCGGACTACTCGGTCAAGCAAGGGTTTCAACCATCCGACAATCGTGGGGACGTGTCCTTGCCTTCGCGTTCTAACTGCCTTAGTAATCCCTTCCACTCACTGTGACCTCCATCTTTTCTCTGGAACATTATGCGCAATAGTGAACATGCATCACTATACGATTGGCTGAAAATATATTTTGGCGCAGTTCGTGGGTTTAGCTGATGCCTGCTGAGCAGAAATGTCAATCCTTTAAAGCTGCAATAGCTGAAGCATTGTTTCCACCAGGCAAGAATCCGGTCTCACCACGGTGAGGCGTGCATTCAAACAGGAACAAGCAAAAGAAAATGGCTGAAGTGGGAAATGATTCTCCCTTGAGCCGAAAAGCGCCTGTATTTGTTAGTGCTAACATTTTACCCTTTCTAAATCATCCTTGAATTCAAGAAAATTTTCTGGAGAAACTAGTGGAATCGAGATGCGAACAACAACTGGACAAGTAGGCCCCGATGGCCGTTCATTCGATGGAATTAGCTACAATCGCGTTCGAATGGCGATCTATAGGAGTGGTAAGACTCCGGTCGCGACACAGCCGTTCTGCGTAAGTGTTGAATATTTTCGAAATCCGCTACTGAAGCCCGATATGTGCATAAAGAGATTTCTGTAGTTGCTTACATGAATATTTTGCAATTGAGCTCTACTACTTACACTCCGCGCTGGCAGCTTGGGCGGAGTTAGGTCTGCCTTTGTGCCTTCCTTGTTGGCGTACTCCTACTCCTGATCATCTGAGGAAGGAAAGAGAGCAAGAGAAGAAGGCACTAGGTTATCTTGGGTTCGTCCCGCATGCTCAAAGGCGGTGGCACGATATTTTGGTTATTGACCTAAAATGCTGTGGCTTGATAGGGCCCTTATAAGGGTACCTCGCTTGGGGAAGGCACTACGCAGCACCTGATCAGGATCGAATTCCGTCCTGTAAGGCGGTATCAGTCCCACTCTTCTTAGGGATTTATCGTGCTAAATGCCTTTAGATAAGGAATGTGCGTGTAACGGGCAAGGACAAGAGTACTCACATGAAGACTGACCGCTGACAGTTTGCTCCAAGTAGCTCCACCGCACTCCCACCGCCAGTTCTTC